GGGCCGCCGGGCGGATTCAGCGTTCTCGCCACCTCCAGCACCTCCAGCACCGTCCGCCAGCGAAGCCCCGCACTCTCGGCATCCCAGCCCCAAGTCGCCGGCTCTCAGGAGGCCCCCGTCCTCCGCTGTGGGCTCCGTCTCCTCCGTCTCCTCAAGGGACTAACCTCGGTAGGTCCGCCATGCTCTACAGCCGGAAGTGGGAAGCTCATCTTTTTCCATACAAGTCTAGTCATAAGACTATAGTTACATTTGCATACATTATAAACAAGTTGCTGTTAAAGATAGAAGAACAGATTGTGCACTGTTAACCCATCACTATGTTAGTCTATCTTGTTTCCCCATCCTCATGCCTTCCAGATGTGTTTGGACTACTTTAAGTTGGGCAAGAGAGTTGTAGAGGCTACACACATCACAAACACAAGTAAGACATAGTCATTTTGCACATAACACAAATTTAAAATTAGTTTCTTGGATGAAAACCAGGACTGTTAATTATTTTACTTATATGTACAGTATATTGTGGTTTGCACATACATTTATTATAGCAAGACTTTACTTTTTTCAATACAGGAACACGTAAATCTGAGGTACTCAGTGAAGAATTTTTTAGAAAAAATTCAGATTATAGTTTTTAAAAGTTTATAACTGAAAAAGGCATGTGATAAAGTTTTTGCTTGCTTTTGTTTATTTTTTTATTCCATATAATTAATAATTATTAATTAGAGCAGGGGTGTCAAACTCGCAACGTCACGTAATGTGTCACGACGTATCGTGACTTTTTTTCCATTGCCGGCAATGGGGTGGGCATGGTTTTGCCATGACGCATCCGGCCTGCGGGCCAGCAGTTTGACACCCCTAAATTAGAGCATCCACAGAAATTTCTGGATTTTCTTCAGTCAGGAAAGCAAAACTACAAAATATTGGGCATGGAATACCAATTTCTACCAAGAGTAGAAATATCTGTTCTGTGTCTGTTGACAACTTTCTATGTGTCTGGTCGGTTTATCGGATTGTGGCTCTTAGTCTGAAAATGTCTTTTGCAACAAATAGAAAATTAACTATGATATGAATGAAAATATCATAAGGGTTTTTTTTTCTTACCAGACCACTTTTACTTCTTGGAAGGTGCAAAGGATGCCTTGCTCTGTGGTAATAATTCAGATGCTGGGTAAGTATAGTTTAGAAGAGAAATCCAATAGTAGTAATCTAACTAAATCTGCTAATCCATCAACTACTTTGCATTGAATGCTAACATATTTGAGCAGAAGTTGTAAGAGGCTTGGGGATGCTTTCAGGTATAATGGAACGTTATATAGAAAGCTGTAGCTTAAGGCAGGGCTTTTCAACCTTTTCACCCATTGTACCACTTTTAGGATATGGCAATATCCGAGTACCACCAGTCGCTTAGCAAGGTGTCAAAAACTTGACCCCCCCCCCAAAAAAAGGAAAAAAGTGATAAAGTACAAGTAGTCCTCGACTTACAACAGTTCGCTTAATGACTGTTCGAAGTTACAATGGCACTGAAAAAAGTGCCCCTCAAGCCACAGCCAAGCAAGACACCTGCCTGCCCGCCCGGCGGCGCTCTTCTTCCTGTCCAGGGTTTTCATTGTGAGCATTTCTGTAGAGGATTGGCAGCGGAGGTGGGGTGGGGGGTGTTTGGTTTTTATTCCACCCATCTGCTGGGTGGTTGCAGCAGGTTTTGGTCACTTCACATGACCCTGGGACACTGTGACGTCATAAATATGAATCAGTTGCCAAGCATCTGAATGTAAATCACAAGACCCTGGAGATGCTGCAACATTCCAGCTGATCGGCGCTTCTTCTGGGCTCAGCAGAAGTGCTAGGATCAGCGCTCAGCTCCAGCTGGAGCCTGGCGCTGATCCTGGCGCTTCCACTGAGCCCTGACAGCTTCGAAGAAGCACCGATCAGCTGGAAAGCGGCACTGATCCTGGGGCTTCTGCTGTGCCCTGACAGCCCTGCAGCTCCAGCCATCTTTCACTCAGGCTTGTGCGGTGCTGCCACCGGTTCAGCTCATTCCCCTCCCCCGCTACCACTTTTCTAGGATGGTCGCATACCACCTGCCAGGTGCCAATGTACCACAGGTGGTACCCGTACCACTGGTTGAACAGCCCTGGCTTAAGGGAAGAAATGGGAGAAATCTAATATTTCCTCTTTGCTTTATAATATGGAAAGAATATTCAAGCCACCGAAATACTTTGTTTTACAGGCCCAGTTTAGTGTAAAGCACTAAATAAAAGTTTGGTTTAGTACAAAGACCAGGTTTCTTTAATTGGATAACAAAATATAATCATTCTTGAAAGTCATGATAACTTAATGGGTACTTTTTCACATACTCATACAATTATATTAATTGAGAAGGTAGAGCTAGAAACTATCGGTTTTCTTTAAGAAGAAAAGTAGGAGGAAAAGCAGCAAAAAATGGAAACTCCATCAAAAGGGGACTGAACCTCAGAAATTCACTCTGATGGGACTCAGTGTGATGAATTCTTAAGTAATACATGTCCTTAAATTTCTGAGACTAGTCTGATTCTGATTCATGTCAACCTTGAATATGTACATAGTTTTTTGTAATCCACAAGATCTTCAAATCTTTATAAATCCACATAGTAATTTGTATTTTGATTTTTAATGTGCCTGATATATTGCTATATGTTCAATTTTTATTTCTAAACTATTTTTGTTGTGTTCTTTGTATTCCCCCCCCCTTAATCCCCTATGCATATCCTGATCACCCATTAAGGGTGATTGCCCTTCACCATTGATCGCCCATTAAGGGTGATTGCCCTTCTCCATCTGCATACAGTTTCATGCCCGTTGCTGGTTGGCTAACTAGCAACAGGGTCTTACCAGCCAATGGAATTGTGTGATTACAAG